CCCCCCCCCCCCCTCCCCTCCATGCGATAGCAAACTTAAGATCTACGACGTGGCCGGCTCAAAGACACGAGAAAAAAGTCGAGAAATATGAAATTCAAGCGCAATATTTCAATGGCACTAGTACGGCTCCGTAGTTTTGTCTATTTTTGATCACTGAGCTGTATGGAGAGGGCTACCTGTAAAACATGGAATGGGGAATCCCGGAATGGAATGGGGATTGGAATGACCCGGAATTGTAAAATCCGGAATCTGTAAAACATGGAATTGTAAAAGCCGGAATCTGTAAAACCCGGAATTGTAAAAGCCGGAATCTGTAAAACCCGGAATTGTAAAAGCTGGAATCTGTAAAACATGGAATTGTATAAAAAGCTGGAATCTGTAAAACATGGAATTGTAAAAGCCGGAATCTGTAAAACATGGAATATTAATTTAATTATATGTCAAGTTTTGGTGGGGGATTTTCAGTCTCTTCGTGTCAGAGCCTCCAACAAATAAGTTAAAGCAGTAAACAACCTCAAGAAATCGGATTTTGTGCAAGGGCCAAGGCTGATATTCTATTTAATATTCTGGAGGAAACACAGTGAAGGTTAGTTTTTATAGTGAATACTATTTATCAATACTGTTGATTTGAAGCTCGATTTTGATATATGGTGAAACGAGGACGCAAAGTGAATCGACAATAGCGAATTTTCAAGAAAATCATTATTTTCAAAATAGGTCGTTTCAATTTTAATAAACTTTCGTTCCAAATGTGTCTAGTTAAAGGTTTATAACTATATATTTTGAAAGCTTCAAATGTGTGTGTTTACATGTGCAGCAAGGTGGGATTTTGAAAATGTAATATATTTTTGATTTTCCGTGGCATAACAACAGTTTGTTGCGAACATTTTCTTGGCGCGAATTTTCTAACCTGAATATAAATCCCACTAAAATGTAGGCATTTTCACAAGCTTTCAAACCATCCGCATTAGGGGTGTATGTCGTTAAATTTAGAATTAATATAAGCGGTTGAACCTTGTGCCTGAAACCAGACATGTATTTTTACACCCTCATTTAGGCAACGAATTCTCGCTCAATATTCTAGCTACAATATTATAGCTCGTACCAAAATGTAGCTGAATTCACCAGCTATCTGACAATATACGTAAAATTATTGTACCTGTAATATTCGCACAGATATGGTCGAATAAAGGTCGTATGTTTATGTTGCATTAAACTTTCTAATTATTATGTAATACGTATTGGCATCAAGATGGACATATTAAATTCTGCAACGTATAGTATATACTGATAATATATTACCAAGATCTGCTAGTTCGACTCATCAAGTATTAAATTATCGCATGCAGAACAATATGTTGCATAAGTATAATAATAATATCTTGATAATAACATATTTTGCGGTTATATGATAAGATTCCAAGATTCCAGGATTCCAGATTCCATGTTTTACAGCTTACCCTATAAAAACTAGCTATATAAAAACTAACCTTCACTGTGTTTCCTCCAGAATATTAAATAGAATATCAGCCTTGGCCCTTGCACAAAATCCGATTTCTTGAGGTTGTTCACTGCTTTAACTTGTTTGTTGGAGGCTCTGACACGAGGAGACCGAAAATCCCGCCAAAACTTGACATATAATTAAATTAATATTCCATGTTTTACAAATTCCGGCTTTTACAATTCCAGCTTTTACAATTCCATGTTTTACAGATTCTGGCTTTTACAATTCTGGGTCATTCCATACCCCATTCCATTCCGGGATTCCCCGTTCCATGTTTTACAGGTAGCCATATGGAGAGCGCAACTATAGATACAGAAATTGAAGCCGGAAGTTGCGTGCGGCCGCCATCTTATTGTGACCACCTTGAGGAGTGAGCTATTGTGATTAATACGGTATTTTCAACTGTTTTGGTCTGTTATCTTGAAATAGAGGAACAAATCAAGTCAAATATGGTATTTTAAGAAAAACCACATGTTCAAGAATGTTGGGGACCTCTTTTACATTCAAATGAACTCAATCGTAAAAAAAAGTGTCTATATTTTTGACGACGTTTGTGAGTGCGACTGAGATGAATCATGAATACAGTCGTGACAACACCTTTCAAATGGGAATTTCTGATAGAGATCGGTGAATTATACCATAAGTTAACACATTAGAAATGAGGAAATTGGTCATGAACTTTATTGTTTTGGAAATGGTGAATTTTAATATGGACAAGATCATAATATACTCATATCACCTCGTATTTGTTTCTATCAACGCAAACAAATTATGTCACTTGTGGGATTTGTTAAAGGAACAAATGATTCAGGATGGTAGAAAAAATAGCAGGTGCATTGTAGTGACCTTATTTCTGTTAATGGTGGGTGCTTAAACGCAATGCCTTGTGAGAATATATACCATCCCATCCCTGCTTGTGTAATATGTTCCTTATTAAAGTCATAGTAATGATTAATTATCACTCTTCTGAGAAGACCTCAATGGTGTTTTATTCCAAAGAAGCAGATTAAAATTGATAAATTTGAAAGAAATTTAAAGTTGTAAAATAATGGTATCTCATTTCTGTGCTCTTTAGATCCTATAGAGACAGTATAAAGTGAAGATGGAACAATGCTGCAAACAGTTACTTTCAGTTGCGTGTCTATATATGCATCATATTGCATTGTGTAAAAACAATTTAATTGTAAAGGGTCTCTAGTATTATAGGATCTGTGTGAAATTCCAGTAGTTTGTTGCCAAATACTCATTTAGTGTGTTGATTTACATAAACTTTAACTTTGACGATTTTTTCGGCTTT